GCAGAATCAGCTGGACAGAATAACTTTTATATCATTAAGTTTAGTGGACAGATTTATGTCTCCATTCTGCAGCTGAAAGATTTATCTGTCTGATTTTCCTAGAATGACTCCTCTTGGATCAAAACATTTTCTTCTCAACTGTTTTAAGTTATGTCATAGGAATATGTCTTTAAACCCATAAATCTTACTAATGTACCAATCTACCACTTGTCTTGCATAGAATATTATAAAGGATTAGTGCAGTTATAGTTATATCAAGAGTTTAAAGCAGATTAATGAAACATTTGTCTTTTTTCTTTAAAGCTTCTTGTAAAATGGCTCTTAATTATTTCAAGATTTCTTAAATTTTTTGTAAGGTTTGAGATGGTCCCACACATAGTTTGGGATGATACTGTCATTTGTTCAGTTAAAGGTTAGTTCTATTTTCTTTTTCCCTTTGGATTGCATTTAAACATTTTTGAAATTCAATAGGCATTCTGACCCCACACGATATTGTCACTAGGAGGTGTGTCATAATCTGGCTTGATTACATCAGTGTGTGTCTAGTCAGTGTGGGATGATGGAACCACTTTGTAATGAGGGTGTACTGTGGTTGAATCCATGTGCCCTTTTTCCAATTAGTTTTCTTTACTTCTAAAAATAATTTCTACAATCATTCACTGTTTCCATGAATAAGACAATTTGTATACAAATTAGTCAATTTCTCTATAAAATTATAAAACATTCTCATTTGTAACACTGTATAAAAAGGAAAAAGATGCAAGAAAGTAGAAGGACTTTCTTTCCACAGCTTATATCATATGCTATACAATTTTTTATTTGCATATGCTCAACTATCATCTGACATCCCTTAAAAGCAATCCTTGTTCCAAACATGATTCTATTGCTGATATATCTATATTATCTGTAGCTGTGTTGTTTGAGCAGGAAGAAAATTGCTTTAAGGAGAATTTTGTTAAATATGAAGACTGAAAAATTCTTGGGGTTTCAAGATTTTTCCTTTTCTATGGCAAAATGATAGAAGTGATAGAAAAAGGAAAATTCAGTTGCCATAAGACAAATGTTTCTAACAATGTTTATAAAAATATTGGAAAGATTGGTTTGGATTTTGAAACACAAACTATGCAACTTAATGGTACGCTTTCTGGCTTACAGAAGGAGGCTCAGTTTTGGAAGCCATAAACCTGCAGTGAATTTGGGCCTAGTTGGGTCTGTGGATGAAAGAGAGTTGGCATTTACCAGATGACTTAGTACTTTTGTAAATAAACGTTTCTGTTAGAAAGTTTAAAAGGGAAGGGCTGACAAATACAAAACCAATGTCTGGTCTGTAAGTAGAGGATAGGCAAAGCAAAGGAGTGGAGCTCACACTGGAAATTGATCTGAGAATCTCCTTGTCTTTGAATGCTTGATGAACTTTCAGTAGTGGTGACTTCTGTTTCCTTGGGCCTCCTTTAATATTTTCGATTATTTCATATTCATTGCAACCTGACCCAAAAAAAAGACTAGACTTTTACTCCTGAGGAAACTTAAACTCAATTTATACATGCATTCTTAACAGATTGTTTGCAAGTAGGGTGACTGTGAAATGCTACTGAGTGAAAATTTCAAGCATTGGCCTTGTAGGATCCTTTTCCACACAATTTTGTTGAGTAACATCCCCATGATGTTGTTGTTATGCTCTAAATATATTCTCAGATCTTATCTAGAGCCCTCAAATTTTGGTAAGTATGTTGAGCTTTCACAGTAGGAAAATACATTCAACACATTGCTCAGATATTTTGTCTGCAATATTGGAAGTATTTTTCAAAGAGCATGTGAGCCCTGAATGTGATGGGTTTTGGTTTTTGTTTTTTTTTTTTTTAATTTATTATTGTATATGGTTTTATCAGTAGGGGAAGAGAAATTAGAGTATTTTTTAGATTTGGGTCATTTTTGACTTCTTTTATTCATCTCTAGCTGAGTTCACGGTATGAATTATAGTCAGAACTTAATGAACATCTTTTCAAATTATGTATTTGTTATAAAAGGAGCTGATCTAATAATTCCTTGTTAATAAATATAGGTGAAGCATAAAACTAAGCTAAGACTAGAAAATATTCTGTTAGACTCAGAGGGGCTTGTGTAACAAAATTTCAATGGGAAATTACTCCAAATAATGTTGTTAAGGCTTGATTTCTTTATAAAAGAAGCAGCCAGCCATAACAAATTATTTTTGAGTTCTATTTGTTTTGTATGTACAATTGGAAGAAAGAAACAGAATGTTCTTTGTGTTTTTTCCATTTATGTTTAGCCTCATAGGTTTACTGAAAGTTGGATTAAAGAAAATATACTTTTAACAATTTTTTGACCTTCCTCTTGAACTAGACACTTCTTATATACATTGTAGCATGACTGGTTTTAAACAAGCTTTTCATCTTTTTTATGGTGTTTGTGAAGAATACTGCGCTTAGCTGACAGTATAATAAAAGCATTTTTGTGTGCGCATTTCAGCAAACTTTCATTATTGCAGTCGTGCACTTGCTATTTCCTATCCTCTTTAACTGTAGCAGTGTGATCATCCATACATTTATCTAATGTTCCTCAGAAGATTTGACTAAGTAAGAATACATAGAGCTGAAAAGGATAAGCTGAGCTCTAACAAGGATCCTTTCTTCATAGGAATGCAGTTAGGTGTCTTTGTGGGATTTGACTATACCAAGCTAACATCCTTCACTCATCTGGTAGTTGGAGAAGTGTGATTAGTGGCCTGTGTAATTTTAAATGGGAAGACACATTTCCTTACTTTCTGCCTTGGTTCTCAAGATTTCCTAGCTTTCTCTTTTAAATCACCAGTCCAACTATTTTTTATCCTAAACTAAAATGACCTTTCTGTCTGGAGAGGGAGGAGTGAAGCTGGAAGATGCAAAATGCCATTAAAGAGCTGCAAAAGTCAAGCTTGTGAAGTGTTGGGAAAGTTCAGATGGTGCCTGGATTTAAGTTCTCCATAGCTACTGAATTTTGCAGTCTTTGTAGTACTCAAAATCCCCACTTTGATAATTTTCTTTTTTTTTTTTTATAAGGTAATATCCTGAAGAATCAAGATGCAGTGTTAAGTGCCTACATGTTGTTAGTTATTTAAGATGCAGGGGAGAAGAATGGGATTTTTTTTTTCAAAGTATTTGCCAATTTCTTCAATAGACAAGAATGCAGCATTAGATGGCTGTCCTTGGTGTAATTCCCCTTGGAACCAAAGCCTGATGAGTCTGTTTCACTGAACAGGGTTTCCCATGTTCAGCTCAACAGTGGGCATAAGTCCAATGTTTTTCAAATTCTGTGAAATTTGGTGACCAAAATTTAAGTCCACAAAACTGCAAATTACTCCTAATATTATTGCCCATTTACAATGCCTAACTTTGTATAGATTAACCTCACTGTCTTTAGTCATGCACTATATCTGGTGGAAATTTAATATAAATGCTGACATAATCCATAATAGCAGGAATTAGGACCAGGACAGTTTTCTTTCCCACTTTGTTTGGTGTGAAGGTGCAGCTCATCCTGGCTGCTGTGCTGTGTCCAATGTAGTTACTACCAAGTTTCTCCCATGCAGAATGCAGGTTCATCAAGGGGTGGAGAGTATCCGATTGTCATGTGGCGTAGTGGTTAAAGCATAATCCTCAAAGGTGGGAACAAAAGGGTTCCTTTTTTAAAATATAGGGCCCTCCTGAGTGCTTTTAAAAAGGAAGGCTAAATGAAGGAGCCGCTTTTCATATCTTAATCTTTGTAAAATTCATTTAGTCTCAGATTTTTTTACTCAACGTAAGAAAGGAAAACTGTAAATTAGTGCTTTTCCTCTGAATTCTGGTGGTAGATTTAAGCAGTGTGAAGCTACTATTTGTTTAATGAAATCTCCCACAACAATTGTATTTTAAGGATCCATCAGTCCTCTGGATTAAAGGAAATATTATGCATATGATTGTTGTCATTTTTATTTTTATTTGTTAAGCCTTTGAAATAGTAGAAAACCTATATTCTCTATATTACATACAGTAGTATTGGGACAGACAGAGCAGTTAAATCAAAGAAGTGAAGACTTTGGAGGAATGTCAGCAGTATGTCATATGTGGGCAGCCAACATTACTCTCTGCCTCAGCAAAGCCTGGTACAGACTAGTGTTGTCAGTACCTTTCAAATATAAAAATTCCACAGATTTTCCTATACAATTTTATTGTTATTGTTTTTCTGGAAAAAGGAAGTAGACCTAAGTTCCAGCAAGCTACAGAAAATTCTATGCAACCCAATGAAACTCAAGTCATTTGTATTTTCATATTTTTAAAAGTAATAAACAGTAATGAAGAAGAACTTCATAAACAAGATGAAAATGAAATTAAGAAGAACTGTTCATAAACAGTAATGAAGTCTGGACATATCAGCATGTTGCAGTTATTGGAAGCCAAGCTGTTGCAGATCTTCAGAAGCATGTCTGTGAAGTCCAGTAGGCATGAATAGGGTACAGTGTGATCTCATATCATTATGCAAGCAAACAGTCAATTCTGATTCTTCTCTCAGAAGTCCTTAGACAAGAATTTGAGAGGAAAATAAAAGAAATGAGAAAGCATTTATTCACTCTACATGCCAATTGGGGTATTTAACCATAACTTAAGGTTTGAAGAAACAAATGGAAAAGGAAAATCATATTACAGCTCAAGCTTAACAACACACTTAGTGTTGTACTCTGTTTTGCTGAGTGTTGGGCTCTCTAGTTCTCTTTTTTCCAAAACCATCAAATGCCTATCAGACTGGTATTTTGCTGTGAGTGTCTGCAGTTCTTGTCTCTTTCCTTTTCTGAGTGTAATGTTACAGTAATACTTTAATCTCTGGTTGTCACTATAAACGCTCATTATAAATATACTGTGCTGAGAAATTAGGTCATATGGCAAACACTTTTTTTTTGGTTATTGAAAATTTACAACATCAACAAAATATGTGTTTTTACTGTGCTTATTTTTCAATTTTGTTAGATATCACAAGGAGTATCCCTGAATGATTTGAGGAAAAAGAAGAGGCGTGCCCCTCTTCCACCAGCTGTGTCTGCTCCACCCACTCCCACCATGCCAAACAGGACTGAAGACAGGGAAGACAAGAGGAAGAGCACAATGGGTGAGAGGCGTTCTTTTCTCCTGAATGACCCTATTCATGTGCTTTCAATGCTCACTGTTTGAAGTTGCCTTAATTCTGTTATGCTGTGAGTTTGGAAACCTTTGTAACTTGGGGGAAAAAACTACATTTCTCTGCAGAATGAAAGTCTGGAAATAAGTGTTTGTATATTACCTCTTTTTTTTTTTTTTTTTTTTAAATGGCACCATTCAGAGTACCACAGGGTAGTAAAATGTAGATAACCCTCATCAGAATATTTGAATATTTGGCACCTTATATACAGAAGCACTAGCCCTGTGCCTATTCTGTGTCTTGAAGGTCATGATTGGTTTGCTAGTAAATAGAAATACAAAAATAGTAAATGGAGATGCTAATAAATGGAGATAGGCCAATACTGAATGCACCTGAAGCCATGAAGTTCTGCTAGAACCAAAGTACAGTCAACTTGGTTTAGTGTTTCCTCATGTTTCTAAAGCCTGAAAAAAATTTATTTTCATATAGTCCTCCATCAGTTTGACATCAACTGTCCATATAAAATAAAGTTGGGATTTTTTTAAATTTTGTCCTCACTTTTATTATAAATCAGTATCTGATGCGTCTTTACTAATCAGTAGAAGAAAAGAACTGATGCTCTCAAAGGAATGCCATATGTACCTACACTCAACAAAAGAAACTGTAGCTTCAGCTGCACGTGGCACCACATTTACTCGTACAGGAAAACTGAACAACATTCTCCCAGACCTCTGTTGTTGTCTGCCTGGTAGCTTGTTGAGATTGGTGAGAGCTTTGCCTGAGTGAGGACACCAGGATTATGCTTCTAGCAAGCAAAGTGATTTTATAATGGGTCAAATTATGAGATAATGACCCCACATATTGGAACTCATTTTTCAGTACATTAAGAGAATCGTTCTTCAAGTGCCATAATGCACTCAGTGCACTTCAGTTCATGCCTTTGACCTCATGTTTCATAAAATGCCTAAGACATACAGATATGACATTCAGTTATACATAATTGCTTACATTACAAATGCCTCACAGTTTAGAATGAAACCTCTTGGCTTTGCACCAACATTTATTTTCAGTAAATGCTTCACATTTAATGCCTCAGCATTTATGTAGCAGCAGGAGTCCATTATCATGTGATATATTTGACTCCATTGACATCTCTTATTTAAACTCTCTAAGGGCAGGGTTATTGCTGGGCCATATAACACAGGAGTTTTCAGAAAACTGGCTTACTTTTAATCAGTACAGATGTCACACTCTACTGCTTCTCATGCTTTGCCCTACTATTGGTCACTTTCTGATGACATTTGTTGCTTTAACTTTTTATGAGTGTTCCTTTTTTGTATTGCTGGTCAAATTTTACAGATGAGATATAGCAGAGCAGAGCTACTTCTTGGTCTATTCAGTACTGTGTACATAAGTGCTTGAGGGCCAGACTCTGCTCATGTAGGATTCCGTAGTATCGTTTGCTTTAATGGAGCCTTATTATTTTACACTGACAAAGAACTCGTCCCACAGAAGCCCTGTCTTCAGTGCTTTTTGTTTTCTGCTACTTTCTTCAATGAATGTGTTCATTAACAAGAAAAAAATGTTACAGCCAGAGAGGGTTGGTAAAACAGCCTCTCTTCGGGGCCCTTGCAAGAAAACAATGAGAAAGCACAGATGGCTCTGAAAGCATGAGAGAAAAGCTGTGAAAAAAGCAAGACTGTAGTGAGGGGAAAAACGTGCTGCAATAAATAGTCAGCCACATGATGGAAAAAGTATTAAAGATACCTGTGTGGCTCACAAGTTAGCCATGTGAATCAAAGCAAGAGATCCAGTTTCTCAAACTGGCAAATTCCCCATAGTATTCAATACTGAATCATTTATTGTGACACCAAAATATTGTGCCAGATTTCCTCAAAGCAGTAAAAAAGGGCTTGCACATTTGCCAGCATTAAATTGAGTCTCTGGAAGATACTCCTCCAGAAGCTAGTGACTCCTGAATTAAAAATCATAATGGTTAAATCATTTTTTGTCCCCCTTGGTGCTGCTTCCCTTCTCAGCAACCCCAAAGCTCAAGCTGGAGAGTGTAGGAATGGGTGAGACCAAACATCTGTCTCTGCCAGCATCCATCTGCAGCAATGACCACAGCACATGCTTCAGGCAGGGTATGAAAGCAGAATGAGCAGGTAGTCATGGTTCCTCAGTGCACTTTCAACCTCTAAGGGCATTCCAAATAACAGTAGCTCAAGTTCTGTACACTGCAAACTGTCATTTTAACATTGAAAGTGGTTCACAGAGTACGGTGCAAAGACACATGTATTTATTTAGTTATTGCACATAGTGTTGAAATAATCCCCCAGACAAAGTTATGGGCATTTCCTTTGATAGCTTCAAACATTATTTTGCAAAAAAACAACTTAATCATCTGCTTCTCTACAATGTCAAAATAATGAAATTGACTCAAAAAGAAGAAAAAAAAAGCCTATAAGATAGTGACAAAATAGTGACCTAACTCATTTACCTCTTTCTCTCAGGAAGAGCCAAGAAATAGTCATGTAAAGTATCTCAGAGATCAACAAATTCAGGCAGTTTAACACTGCAGAAGATACAATAAAACACATTTTTCACATTTTCTTACACAGTATTTTTCAATTTTTTTTATTTTGCCTAACTGTTTTTTCTCCATTCTTATGCCTGCCAAAACCGGTGATTTTGTTAGTTGTAATGTAGATGTATGTGCTGGGCTCAATTCTGGTCCCACTGCTGTTGGTTTAAAACCCACTTTTTCCTTCTCCGCTAATTATTTGGATGTAAATAAGAACAGAATTAGATCCAGAAAGGCTCTGGATGTGGGTAAGGGAAAATCAATGTGTTTTTAAACGATGAACAGAGCAATCATTATCTTGCAATGAAGTAACAAGTCAATTGATCCCCCTGTAGGTGATGGACGGCAGGTGCCACAAAAGCCTCCTAGGGGCACCACTCGTGGTCCCCCCCAGTTAGTGATCCCCCCACCCCCACCTTACCCTCCTCCTGGCAGTGACATTGTGGATCCAACAGTGTGTTACAGAGAAGCAGATGTTACAGCACCAACAGAGCTGGTACCTAAACGTATGTTTGAAAATGTATTTGCGTTTCCATTCTTTGGATGATTGCTCTCAGGGGTAGCTTTTCCAGACTTTCCTCTCTGCTCTTTAAACATCCGTGTGTGTTTTTCCCCCTTTTTCCAGCCTGTTGTCTTTCAAAATGTCCAATGCAGTATAACTAACTAATATAAAATAAACAAAACACTTGTTTGGAGAGAGTTTTGCATGTGATACCTAGTCATTGTACAAAAGCATTTTTAAATAACCATCAAGCTTTGTTGCTTTGTTCAACATTTTGAAAAAAGAAAAAATCTGTGGTCTTGTATTAATTCCCCAAGTTTATTTTTCTGTGCTTAACAAATTTTTTGCCTCCCCAGAGATGAGTTCTTTTGAGAGTCAATGGGTCTATCAATCTAGGTCAAAAACTGCAGTGTCTTTCTTAGGAAAATTAAACCAATTACAGGAGCTGTATATTGTTAAGGGCCTTCCTGTCCTAATGGGTACCTCCTTCTTGGCATCTCTGGGTAGTTCTTTGTGTGTTCTTCACCTTGGGGCATAACAGTTTTCAGACAAAGAAGTACAATATTTTTCACATCCCCGTGTACTTGTGAAAAACATGTTTCATGCTGCTTTTTCATGCTTATCCATTGACTGCCTTTAAATCTTTGTACACAATCCAAGTCTTTGATCATGTATTATGTTCCCTGTGGGCTTGCCCTGCACACCCATGTAGAGCTGGTAAAAGCAGCAAAGCTCTGCACATTATGACATCTCATGGATGCACTTCCTTTGAAGACTAGGAGGGTGTCTCCTAACTATAGGATAGACAACTGTCTCTATTGGCTACTAATTTGACAGAAGGTCTCTTTCCAGGACCTTATGTTTACCAAAAGTATTCTGGAGGTTGCAGTTACTCTGATACATTAATGTGAATGTGTTTGCTGGTGATTACCAGCCAAATCTAAAGCACTGTTTTTCAAATCTTTTCAAATCTGCCTGTATCTGCTGAGAAGATAAAAATTGGTAAGTTTTATTGGGAGCTAATGATGGAAATTAAGGAGATCATACTAGCAGAAAACCTGAATCTTACTGAGGATTAATGCTGACTTCTTTACCAACACATGCACAGAAATCGTATCGTACTTAAAATCTTCATTTTATTCAAGATACCATCAGCTTGCCTACAATGTTTTCATTATTAAAAATCCATTGTGGCCTTCTTTGCATTAATATTTCTGCTTTATTTGCATTTCTATCACTGTTATTTTGCAATGCTTTCCTGATCTACCTTGCTGATCAAATACCCTTTAATCAATGCAACCCTCATGTAATCAGTGTGATCATTTGCTCTTAAACAAACACAGTATCTCAGCCAAAAGGATTTGATTAAGCTTGTACATAGAAACATAACATGAGTTTTTATTGTCCTCAACTTACTGAGAGCAAGAGCTTAGTGGGTATTTATTTTAGACTTAAAGCATCAGTGTTGGAGAGAGACAAGTTTTAGCTCTGTAATTATGCTGTGTCCTATGTAGATAAACATAAGTGTGTGGATTTTCACAGGACAAGCATGTATAGATGTACCTATGAGAGACAGCAGCACATAGGACAGATGCTGATTACATTGCCTAATGCCATTCTAAAAGGTGCTTAGATACCATAGCAATTGAGCTGTGTAAGAACAACATTTTGCAATGATGTGTTATATTGCCTGAGAATGCCTCAAGCAGTTCAAATAAGATTTGGGCGGTAGATTCAAAGAACAACGAAATTTTCAATCTTCCTAACTCTAACCTCAGTAAATGTGTTTTCTCATAGAATAAGGTGGGGAGGAGGATAAACTGGTGATGCCAGCTGTTGATAAAAGGCATGGGGTTTTTTTAAATCACTCTCAAAGCAGCTTTCTCTGATAACAACTGTGGTCTTCCTTTGCTGAGTGGGTGACTGTCAACAGCAGTATGTGTTCCACAAGAAAAAATTTCCACTTAGAAGTTAAAATTCTGTGATCCTGTGGAGTTTAAATTCTCACTTCTTATGATCTGCCACTGTTTCTTTCTTTGAAGCTTTTGAAACTTTCTGTGAAGTTTCCTGCCTTCTTGCCTGCCTTCCTGCCTGCCTTCCTTCCTGCCTGCCTGCCTTCCTGCCTGCCTGCCTTCTTGCCTGCCTTCCTGCCTTCCTGCCTGCCTGCCTGCCTTTCTGCCTTCCTGCCTTCCTGCCTGCCTTTCTGCCTTCCTGCCTTCCTGCCTTCCCGCCTTCCCACCTTCTGTCTCCTTGTGCTCTGGGAGACACAAGTTGAGGGATTTTCATATCCTAGAGAGTGGTGGCAATCACTTTTCACTGAGTTTTCCAAATTTATGTGAAGTCTAAGTGATTCATGTGTGTGTATATATAAATATATATGTATGTATATATACTTGAGCTTTTCTGTATCAAATGGTAAGAGTCTCTTCCACAAGTAAGGGTACAAAATTTCCTCACAGTTTTTGCTCTTAAATATTTTTTTTCTGATTACATGATGTTTTCTCTAACATTTGGTCTGGTAGAACCTTAACTGCATGTTGTGTGCATTTAAATTGATGTGTTTATGGGATCCTTCCTTCTTCCTTATCTTACTAATCGGATTGTTCACAGCCTGATTCTAAGATTGATTGTACTTTGGGAATGCAGAGATGGAGATTGTTGGATGGTGTTTGGTTATGTCACATTGCTTGTGAAGTTCCAAATGTGTGAGTTGGTGGTAAACTCTGTGCTACTTACCAGAGGTAAAGAAATCTTTCGCATAGTGAAAGACTGCTCCACCTAGACAAGCAACTGAAACATGCTGCCTTGAAATGTCAGCCAGCTCATTAGAGTAAATCCAGTATTCCTGCGAAACTCCTCATTAGCCCTTTATTTGGCTAGTTATGAACTATCATTAAGATATGCAGTAAGAAATTAAAAGCTCTATGGGAAAGAATATACAATTCCCCTTCCTGCAGAGTGAGATCCTGAAGTTAAGTTTTTCACTCTGGCATTGGATAGAGTACTCATGAACTCAGGGCTCACACTGGGTAAGGGCTTGACAACTGATTGATTTGTAAATTTCAGAAAGTGGTCTGTCTTTGAAGAAATTAAATTATGGTTTGAACCCGTCCTTGTTTTTAACTAGAGATCAAAATAATCAAACATCACTTAATTCAAAGTTTTTTAAGAGGTGAAGGAGTGGGTATACCATTTAATTTTCTGTAGATAGCATGTGTACTACTGTTTGATGAATAAAACCAGGTTAATCTTAACATATTATGAGAACAGAAAAGAGCCTTGTCCCTCTAATTTTTAATTTTTTTTCATTATATCACTGATATATGGATAGGTAATACAAGCCAGTTGACAAAGGCAATGACAGTTTCACAAAGAGTTCAGTCCTATTTCTTCAGTCACCATACATATATATAGTCTTTCACAGGGCTAGATTCTAAGAGATGGGTTTTGTTAGCTTGAAGCAAAAATGGGTAGAAACACAGAGGAAGCTTCACTCTCTTACACATGGCTCTAAGTCAACTGAGAACTGAGGGCTACTGTGCAGGGAGCTTTGCTGGCTTGTCATGGTACACTGCTTCATAAGGTACCCACTACTTCAAGTGACCCAGCCTTTTCTTTCTCAGAAGTGGTCCTTAAAGCAGAATGCCTGCAGGTGTGGCTTAGGAGGCTTTTATTGCCACCACTACTCTTACTCATTCAGGCAATCTGAGGCTAAATAATGAAGTTGAATCTCCAATATCATCTATCTTACTCCTTCTGAAGAATTAAAGTTCAGGCCAAGTAAAGCAGAATTCATAGACATACTGACATATCAGTAAGTATTGTGCTGTTAGGATTGAGTTAGCTTATACATGAACCCAGGTAATTAGTCTCAGTGCATCTGCAGGATTCCAAATTTTAACACATGTGCCCATGCACCTACACCTCCTTTGGGCATTTGTTTCTTTTATGATACTGAGCATGCTAGCCATTCTGCTGACTGACCTACACAATACTTATAATTTTATTTTTTTACTCTCTTCCCCTGACAGTTTACTGTTGTGCATCATTTCCTTCATACTCCAAGCGTGTCTGACAGACCTTACCTCTTCCTATGACCTTCATCCTGTTGCCTCTGCTATCCTGATTCTTCTGTTGCCTTCCTTCCTCCCCTGCTGGAAAGAAAAACAACCTTTTTTTGACTGAGATTTTGGCTTCTTTTCTTTTTTAACTTGCACATTCTCTATTCTCACATTCTCACATTAATCTCTCATGTTACTTTTGATTATTTCTGGCTGTGGTTCATACTCATTTGTGAAATGTATGCTCCAGAACTGAATGGTGTGTTACATAAATCTATATATCAGCCTCAGAAAGATTACCTGTCGTTCTTTTCAAAAAGATTCTCTTTATTTTGAGCCATTGTTCAATTTGATTTGGTGTTGCAGAGGAGTGTGTTCTTGGGACAGGGTATGTTACTTTCCACATTGTTTAAGGTTTTAATGAAAAGTTTCTAAAAACTTTTTCTTTCTGTTACTCTAGGTATAAAATTTTGTATTCTCTATCTGTTCTATTTTCCTTTTATTACATCTGTTTTGTTCCTTTGGAGCAAAACTAGAACTGGGCATGACCTAGTCAAGTTGAAGTGCAAGATTATTTCTGTATCTTGGCAATCAATCAAGCTGTCAAGAAAAAAGAAACAGGATCTATAAGGGGCTTAAAAGGAATACCAAGAACCAATACCAAGTGCACTGATTCATATTCTTTACTTCTGCTTTCATCCTGATACTTAATATGAGTAATTTTGTCTGGATGCTGGAGACATGGTGTAGAAATCAAGGTGTGTTCTATTTCTGTAACAAAAGATGCAAACACTGTTTGCTCAAGATACATCTTGTTCCACAAGTCTCCTTTTTTCACTTGTACTAGGAATAGTCAGTGAGTTCTAACTAAAATATCATCTATAGGTTTGTACTTAGCAAAAACATCTTTGTGCTAAAGGAAGTTCTTCATGAGAACAGCCCA